GTAGTAGTAGTAGTAGTAGTACCGGTTGTAGTAGTACTGGTAGCATGTTCGCAGATTTTGAGCTCGTTGTCATCGGGATCATCCTCATCAGGCTTGCAGAAAGGCTCTCTGGCGACGGCGTTTTGACTAGGATGTGTCGAATCGAGGACTTCAGCTCGGGGTTCCGAAGAAGCTGCCTTCGTACCTTCTTGAAGATGTCGGCAGAAAGATCGGCTATTCAGGGTTTCCGTGGCTTCTGGAATCACTCAAAAAGACACAGCTGTTCAGGGCCCGAGCAAGTCCGCCAAGCCGTAAAACAATGTAAAACCCATGGCCCTCAGGTTTGGGGCTTGCAGCCCAGGGGTTCCCAACAGACCAGCAGTCCGGAGACCCGGACGCCGGAAGGTGAGGAAAAGACGCGTGCCTTGTCCAAAAGGATTCACATGGTTCGATAAAGTCTTTGAGAAAGAGAAGGCTGCGTGCGGGCGCCACGAGCTATCATTACAAACGATTCGAAGCCTCATTGCATCATGTTCGGGTTCACGAAAGGTTTTAGGATGCGAGGGCTTCGGGCTCATGGTATAGAGCCTCGGGTTTGGGTTCTAATAACTTCCCGAGCTTATAGAGAGAACCACCCTGTAAAGTCTATGGCGATGGAAGTCTGCTGCGACCGTGACTATAAACGGGATCGACGTGCTCCGAAAAGGCAGACCAAAACGAAACGCAGCAAATGCTCCCGAACCCTACAGCCCGAATTCGAAAGTAGACTGAATGCATGCGCATGCTTTCCACCTCACTGTGGTCCCAAATGCTGCTTCGAGCGCAGCTTCGGTACTTCAAGAAGGGTAGCCCCGTGTCATGTGCAAACTCTCCAACCCAGAGCAGCCTCATTCGATGCTGCTCTTCGACCTGAATTTCACACCACCAAAGAACGAGAAAGCCAGAGACCTGGGTACCCATTCCTGGTAATAACATAGATCTCATAATTTTAGGGTTTCAGGTTTGGGGGGTTAAGGCTCTCAGATATGAATATGTCGTGAGCCTGCGAAGACTATGAGGCAAGAAAGCAACATAAGGCTGAGGAGAAAAACTTGCAGACGTTTCACAACACCAGACACCTCCTTGGCAAACCACCGAGCCACACCGCAACACTTTTCTTCTCTGCGCCCCTCAAGACGCTTCAACACTTCAGGGCGTCGGGTGGCCGCGCAGGGTGTCTCGGCACAGAAAGGATGTCACGAGTTTGCCAGGAAACCCTACACAACGACCCTGAAACCTAACCGTATCTTTTGCGAAGGGTGCAGGGTGCAGGACTCAAGGTCTACACACCGCTACGCTGCAGCGATGGAGTTACGGTGATTTGCGGGAGCTATCAAGGCGTTTCCGGTTGCTGCTGAGGCTGGAGATGTTCATGTCAGCTTGGTGCCAGTTCATGTCATCAGAGAGAAAAAAAGCACTGAAAACAGTTGAATTAGTAATCAAGGCGTCCGCGACAACAGCAGCAGCAGCAGCAGCAACAGCAACAGCAACACCAACAGCAACAGCAGAACCACAACAACAACAACAACAACAACAACAACAACAACAACAACAACACAAACAGCAACAGCAACAGCAGCAGCAGCAGCAGCAGCAGCAGCAAGCACCACCACCAGCGGCAGCACCAGCACTAGCAGCAGCAACAACAACTACCACTACCACTACCACTACCACTACCACTACCACTACCACTACGACTACGACTACGACTACTACTACTACTTCTACTGCTACTGTTGTAACCACAACCACAACCGCAAACACTGGCAAGACAATTGTCAACAATCTGCACGAACGACTATTTCGAGAATCACCACTGCCTTACAAACTCAGAACCACAAGAAGAAAAGAACGAATCCCCTCTCACCATCGTCTCAGTCCCTCACAAACGACACCCTTGAAGAAGCCATGCTGATCGAAAGTTGCGGCGTTTGCCTTCCTCGGGTCAGGCTTAGGGCTTGGAGGAATAAGCGACACTAAGCTGCGAGTATTGGGGCTGCACTTTGCCTAGCTACCCTAGGGTGGCATGCCGTTCTGATTGAGTGTGACTCTGTGATCAACGATTCTGACGTTTGTGACTTCCCCTTTGGCGCATATAACATGATGCTTCTGGTTAGCGGGAGTGGGGCCATCCTGTTCATGTTTTCTGCCGCTCTTCTGGGCATTGCGAGCATTGCAACGGTGCAGCTTCTTACATCATTGTGGCTCTTCTTCTTTGCTATGATGCGCAATATGACGGATACTTGGGCTTCATTCAAGAATTGCAGCCCGCTGTTGATATGGATGCAGCTGAAGATGTGCATCATCGACATTTTTCTTGACTATGACGGGGCCAGATAGAAAACTATACATGTACTATGTACTATGTCTATACTGTACTCCGATTTATTTGTGGCTATAAAGACTATTACCATTACGGATTTTGACGAGAACATTGCCATAGGTGAGCAGCTTGAAGGGATGGCCTGCCTCAGCCTCCCTCTCGCTGGTTCTGATTCGGGTTCAGGATTTAGGGTTTTCCGGTTCGGGTGCTGCTGACCCAGGCTGTTCCGGACTTGGGGGGTGGGATGTAGCATTCCGGCATAGCCATGCCCACCACAACCATGGCCACACGACTCGACGACATCCTCCTCACGTCTCCACCCTCAATCATCAGGAAGTGCAAATACTCCAAGGCCCACGGTCCCTCAGACGCCATAAGAGCCGATGCAGCTTTTACGTCAATCCCACCCAACACCGGGAGAGTTGTTTACAAATCGCAAGGCCTTAGACCCAAACCCCGGTCTTCCGCCGCCCTGCCACATCGTCGACCACAGGGCGATGAGGCTCAACTGTGCAGAGAAAGCGCAAGCCTGCTGTAGGCTGACCTGACAAAGGCTCGGGCGCTACAAAAGGATCTACAGAAACAAAGGCATCTACAAGTGTTCTAGAAATCCTTCTACAAGCGCTTGGGTTTTCCGGGTTCGGTTCTATAACGATTGTCGCAGGTGTTCCGGGCTTCGCGTTCGGCGTTTCCTGTTTCAGCCAGCCTCGCAGGACTTCGCACACGCAACAAAAGAAATTCGCGCGTGCTCTCTTGGTAACACTGTACAAACGCTACCATTGGTGTTTCCTTCTCCTCTTTGCTAAAGTGCTCGTAGGAATATGCTGTGTGCTTCACTTGCCTACACGCAAACAAGCCAAGTAGGGGCTCAGGATTTACAGTTCTATCCCAAAGTCCCCCTGTTCAAGTCAGTACAAGTTCTTGTTGGAACGACACCCTTCCCACGAAACTCAGAAACCCTCATTTCCGGGTCTCACCGCGGCAATCGAGATGGCTGAAAAGAGGCATTGGGGGCGGGTGTCGGGTTTTGGGTCCAGGGATGCTCGTTTTCAAGCTGCGAACACGAGGGTCCTTGAAGGAAGAGAAGAGGAAGAGAAGAGGGGGGGCCAGGGACCCTCCAGGTGCATTCACGCCTCATTTGTGTCCGGCACGGACGCTGAGGAAGGAGGAGATGGGGCTTAAGGAGTAAAGGTCCCCAAAAACATGTGGCTCCGGCGAAAATTCCGAATCCCACCCTGAATCACCGAACTTCCCCCCCTCTTCCAAAGAAAAAAAAGAAAGCCTCTAAAAGACTCCAAAAAGTAAATCTGCGCCAACACCCGTCAGCAGGAGGAAAAGCGGAAAGCCACGGTCCCCTCAATCCGAACCCGAAGTACCCGGGGGCCTCCAAAAGCCAAACACCCGCAATCCGAAACTCTTAAGAACCAGCTTGAAGTCTGTAGAGGCACCTGGTCGCCGAAAGCGAAGCTGCTGACAATCACTATCAAGGCGTCCTCACGAGAAGGCAGCTGGGTCTTAGGGGTTTTCTGCGTCTTTGTTAGGTCTCGCAAGGTGTCCGAAAGGCTGAGTGATTTCTTTTCATTGGGAGTCGGAATCGGAGGCTTGGCGGTCCCAGGCCTTTTCTTAGCACCGAGTACCATCAAACGATGAATCCAAAGCCTGAAAGGCCCCGGCGGAGCACTTTTTTTTTTTCCTAAGGCTGGCGGTCCCCGGTCTCCCTTGCTAAGGTTGGCGGTCCCGTTTTAGTTAGAACTACTATGCACTGCAGCATTTCCTATTGTTTTGCATCTAGCTATTAGGCAACTGCAATTAGCAGGGTGGCCTTTGGCCGCCAGCTATTGGGGAATT